GTTGTTGGCTTTCCAAATATCCTATGGTAACCGTAATTTAGAAATCCAAGTAATAGTTGGAAAACTCATTTATTGTCGTTTCAGTTAACAATCCTTTAAGGGTAGAAAGTTATTTTGAAATAATGATTTTTATTTACTATTTCCTATCTACATAAGTTTTTAGATTTATTTATTTTAACGTTGTATTAAATATATTGGTATACATCTTGAGTCCCATATCTGCATGTGGATTTAAAAATTTTCATATTCACGCTTTCATATTCACGTTAATTTATAGGTAGTTATGTGAAACTAAATTTTTAAAATAAATTAAAAAATCTGTTTCTTTTTATGAGCACTCACTGTAGCTTCTATAATCATTATAACGTAGTCTAAATAAAATATAAGCAAGAAATGCATATTATACATATACATAATATATTTACGTATATTTTTCACAAGTATAAAAATTAATATAAGAATTTAAGAGAATGAGAAAAAATTTTAATTGACCCCCAAAATAATTTTTCGTATTTGCATTAAATTCCGAGGAAATTAATACATTTTATTATTCACCTATATTTTCAATAAAGTATTTGCGTATTGGAAATCAATTTTTCCATTCGAATTCGAAAATTAATGTATAATTATAGTTTTATAATAATATACATAATTATTTATGTATGGTGTATACCTATATAAATAGAATGTACAGGTATTTCTGCTCTGTCTACCCATCAATTTAAATAAACGGGCCTGTACTTGTAGTTAAGTATGATTACGGAATTTCTATATGAACACTTGTATACTTGTATACTTATAATGAATGTAGTTAATGATGTAAAAATTAAATTCATATATCATGGCTATTTTAATTAAATGTTTATTGAAGATAAGTTTTTTTCCTACTTTATTTTGTTTTATTATTTTTTCTTTTTACTAGCTTTTTTTTTGAACATATACAGATGTGGAACTGAAATTATTTTATGTTTACAAATTATATATAAAGATATATGCATGTGTATATATCTATAAAGAACAGCAGATATTCATAGATTTATCATCATTATAATCAACATCATCATTAAAATTATTATACTTACAAAAAAATTATTATTGTGTTATCATTATCTTCTTTATTAACGTTATCATCATTGACAACGTCACCATTATCATATTATTTTCGTAGTTTATATATGAGCAACCCTATAACTACCCTACAACAAAATTTAACGCGCTCTGACAGCCAGAAACAAATGTTATGTATGGAGGTACATTATATAAAAAAATAAATGAGAAATACATACAAACATATACATATTAAAAATATTTTAAATTTTATCACTTAAAATGCTTGAATAACGCACATAAAAATGATAGATGGACGGATAGACATATATGTATATACATATATCCATACAAAACAATATTTAATATTTACATATACGAGTGTATACCAGTTCATATTATTATATTATAACAAAAATATATTATGAGGGTCAATTTAAATGTACATACAATTTTTTCAACATTGTGTGCTGTTGTATAATGTTCATATTATAATAATTCGTAAACGTAAACTAAAGAGTAATGAGAGAAAAGTTTGTGTAGTATAGCAAAATTTTAATGATGAGATTAAAAATTTCAGAACAAGTTTTCTCTAATTTTTACTTTAAATTTTTTTCATAATAAATATCTTGATTTTCATGCATAAGACGACAAGAATCAAACCAGAATTATGTTAATACAAAAACTTAAGATATAATGTTATGAAATATGTATGTGAAATTATGCCTATAAGGTATAAGAAAATATAAGTAAATTTCGCAGTGTCTTATTGTGTGTACACCAATATCATTTCAGAATCTCAATATTAATAAATTATATACTCGTTATTTACTCATACAATAAAATATAAAATTAAAAAAATTATTTATAATTTTATTTCTAAAACTATATGTTCATTATGATTACAAATATTTAGTTACTACTTATACTTGTATATTATTAGAAAATGCTCTAGCACTCTAAAATATGTAAGTACCTACATACTTATTTTAATAGTGTTCAAAATTATTTATAAAAATGTTTAGTAAGTTTTTTTATTTTTTATACTTTGTCTTATCTTATTCACATTTAAAATGTATTAGTACTCATGACATTTAATATTAATGTATATATATATACTATGTATACATTTTATACATAATGGTAAGAAATTAATTTTACGTATGTACTTTTTAGTTAAAATGTGGCGAATTTCTACAATATAAAGTTGTATTCATTTCCAATTATCTACATACATATAGAAAAAGAAATAGATATTTTGTGATATTATTACGTTTAACTTCACCACTATGTTTTAAGTAGATTAAAATATAATATTCAAATACACTTTATATAAATCTAGAAGATAACACGTAAATGCATAGTAATTTTTTCAGATACACGTATACCTACATAATAATATGTATATACATTCATTATATACTCCAAGTTAGCATTATAGGTGCATTATACACGCATACTAAAATTTTCTTATAAATTTAATAATAAAATATAGGAAAAAGTTGTTGGAATTGTAAATACTTGTTCTGAAGAAGTGTTAGTGAAGAATGTGAGGTTATATTATATTATATATATTTGTACTACACCTTAAATTTTAAAAATGTATGTGTGGGTTAAAGTTTCTTTTTTCCGTTTTTTTCTCTTTTTACCTACATAAAAATATATGTATGTAGATATATATGTGTATACTTATTTTTATTATATTTTTACATTTACACTTTTTTTTTATTTATTTATATCATAAATATTTATATCTATTTTGAAATATGTTTTGTGTGCGTGTGTGTGTGTATATAGAGAAAAGTTCATATAGAAATAGAAAAAAGAATCAAAAAAGAAGAAAAAAGAAAATCATTTTAGCAAAAATTTCGTTCGTTAATTTTTTCCAGACTTGGTTTTTTTTTATAAAATTGTTGTAGATGAAAAGTAAATCAAAAACGCTTTTAATATATTCACTTAAATAAGTAGGTATATTTGCGTTATAATATAAATTTTGTTATTGTATTTGTTGCCTTCTTGTTCGTATGCTTATTTTAAGATTCTTTTGAGCAAAAAAGCAAAAAAAAAAAAGAGAAGCAAAAAATGAAAAAGCAGAAAATTAAATCGACCGAATGAATTTTGTAAAAAAAATTTTCAAAATCTTTTTTAGTTTAGTTGTATGCACACATCCGGCTAGAAAGCAAGTATTTTCGTAACAGATTATTTTTTAAATTTAACCACGAGGTTGCGCTGCGATTTATTTTGTTATATACCGTATTTTTATCTACAAAAATAAATTCATCTTTTATTTTTGTTCTCAATTGAAAAAATAATTACATTTTAACTTTTTATTTCAAGTGCGAATTAAATAATATTAAGAAATTTATAAATAATATAAAAATTACAAAATGAATTTAAAATATAAACAAATTTAATTTTAAAAAATAGAGAATTAAAATTAGTACCTATTTTTTTTTTTTGCTTTCAACATACAAAAATATAAACAAACTATTAAAAAATTTTAGTAACAATTTTTATTTAAATATTCAGAATATAAAATATTCAAAGCTAGTGCATATATTAAATGTGAGGTTATATTAAAAAAATTTTAAAAAAATATTGTTGAAAACTATACACTTATGTGTAATTTGGAAAAAGAAATAATAATTCTGACATTTTGCTAAATTAAAACAGCAAAAAAAAATTTTGTATATATAGATATAATTTATATATGTATGTGAATATACATATAAGAAACAAAATAATAATAATAAAAAAAAAACTTTAATTTGCGTCTTAAATAATAAAACGTGATATGTAGTATTTCTTGTTGTATAAAAAAAAATGTGGCCATAAGAAATATCAATTAAAAAATTTAAAATTGTATATGAAAAAAAAAACAAAACATAAAGTGAAATTATAAAAGAATTTTATAAAAATTCTTTATAAAATCAAATAAAAATTAAAATATAATTTTGAACCGATTGTTCAAAATAAATTTTATTGCAATTTTATAATGTAGGTATAGTAAACACGAAATATTTATTTACAATTGTTATCACAGTGTTATTATTTCATTTATGTTTTTAATTTTATACTGTTTTTGTGTTTTTCCTTGATCATTTTTAATAAATAATATAAAATATAACAGTTATACGTGTATATATAAAATACATATATTTATTTTGTTAATATTTGAGCTTCTTAAAATATTCTATGCAAATTTTTTTTTATTTATTTATTAAAATATATTTTTTTGTCATTTTGCAAAATCAGAATGTCAACAAATAGTTATTATCTAAAAATATCAACAACACATTAAATTAAATTTTTTCTTATTGATTATAATTGGTTAGTTCTAATAATTTAATAATCAAAAATAAGGAAATTAAAAAATGGCGCGATTATATATAATTTCAATATATTATTCAGATCAGTATTGACATCTTGACAAGTTTGTTTAAGTAAAGGTTATAAAAATACTGATATCATTTGTATTAAGTTATACGAAATTTTAAGAAATTTCGCGCCAATTTATTAAATAGTTTTAATTATCTTAAAAATCCGTCTTTCTAAAAATTCTATGTATATTTAAATACATATTTATATCTGTATATATTTTGTATAAAATTTTAATTATATTCTTAATGATTGTCATTAATAAAAATTATAATTATGAAAATTTGAGAGTGTAAAAAAAATTAAATTTAGCAAAATATTCTATTCAAATCAATTTCCACATTAAATATTTTATAATCTGGCCACTCTAAATATTTTAATATACTGTTATATATTCAAATATATGAGTGTAAGATATAAGAAGGAAAAAAAAAATAGTGTCATTGATAAAAAAGAAAATATTTACAATAGAATGACACTTACGTAACAAGTGTCATCAAAAGTGTTTTAATGTTATTATTTAATTTAATATTACCTATGTATATAAAAATAATTAAAAAATAATTATTCACTTTTTATTAAAAGTATTCATAAAAATTTAATAAATAAATTATAATGAACTAAATAATATTTAAAAAAGAAAAATGCTAAGTATGTATATAAAAGTACATAAAAAGAAAAAAATAAGAGAAAGATATCTGGTGATCGAGTCAAAAAAAAAAATAATATAAAGAGAAGAAAGAGCGAAAAAATTAATTTTCAAACTGCGCCATAAAATATTCAAGAAAATCAAAAATATATATATACACATGTATGGAGATGTGTGCGAATTTTACCCAATATATACAATATATATTTGTTATATATAATACATACTCATATATGAAATTAAAGCCAACTTTGCATAAGTTTGTACGCTATTAATGATGAATATAATTATAGAGGGAACTATAAAATATTTTATATAAAATAGAATTAAATTAATAAAACAAAAAAGGAAGAAAAAAGTATATATTTACATTATACATTCATATGTATATGTGTACATTAAACATAGTAGTTTTATAAAAATAATTTTTGTGCAAATTATTTATGGACATATGTACATACAAATTCACATATTTAATTCAATTTTAATTTTGTATTTTCCTTTCTGATCAATGATAATAATTTGAAAAAACTTTACATTCTAGCTTATACTTAATACTTAGGTGTCCATATAATTGGGTATGGAGTAAAAGTCGATTACATTTATATGAGCTTGGAACAGTATAATTTATTTTTATATTTTTAAATTTTTAAAACTATACTAATATTATACATACATATGTATGTATGTTAACCCATACATATATTACAAAAAACTAAATATTATTATAGGTGCTTAATAAAAACTGTGTATATGTACTAAGTATTATAAATTTTTGTATATGTAAATATTTTGAATAAAAATTGTCAAACACCACATATGAGCAATAGAAGCCAATACAAAACTTTTTTTTATAGAAATAAACTTCTCAAATTCAATCTGTATTATAAAATATTAATTTTGATAAAATCAACATCACAATTAGCCAAGTACATAAGTAGCTTCTTATATCATAATTATTATTTTTATTTTCATTACATTGAACTTGTATACTTAAACCCCATTTAATTGAACAATTTATAATATGTATGTAGGTACATATATTATGTATCTATACAATAATGTAAGCAAAATATACTAATATAAAATTAGTATACAATGGTGTTGCTATAGGAAGAGACTTTACTACAAAGAGAAACAAAATTTTTTTTTATTTTGGCTCTTTACTCTGCCTGCGTGCCTGATCATTTCATATCAAGATCGTTTAAATACTCACACATTGAAAAATGATCATCCATATTGAATTTATATATAAATACATATGTATGCGGTAGATTTATTTATTACTGTATTTTGTGTACTCGTATAATGTATTTATAAATGTTACAAATTAAGTGTTTAAAAGCTTTCTTTTTGACATTTATAATACTACCTTGACCAGACATAATTTTTGACAATACACTTTGTGAATATACATAAATAATTACTTACTCATACATGACTAGAAATAAATTTGAAATAGTCTAACGATATCGTTTAATGAAATGATCAACTTTTTTATGTATGTATGTATTTAGCTATAGTCTATATAATTTCTTTATTGTTTATTTAATATTATTGTATAAGTAACAATTATTTACTGTCACTATTAATAATATGTACTTAATATTATGAATGATAAAGATTTTTTATAATCTTGTTTAAAACAAGATTAATAAGATGAAAAATTTAAATTAAAAAATTTCTAGTGAAACTAAAATTATTATTTAAAGGTATTCGGTATGCATATGTAAGTACAAATTTAAAAACTTTAATAAACAAATAAATAACATTTAAATATGTTGTGTAGGGTAAAATTTACAATTTATAAAAAATCTCAATAAAAGAAAAACGGTAAAGGCACTCAAATATTTTAGAAAAATTGTTTATGCTTACATATTATTGTGTACAGATGTAAGTATGTTCTTATGTATTCTCCTGTATGTTTTTTAATTACCAAAATTTCAATCCAAATTATATTTCAATTTTAAGCGTACCTATAACTATAATGCAATTAATTATATCCTATTTAATAAGGAAATCATCTCGCCTTTACGTATAACCAATTATATGTATGTATTCAAATTCAATCTAAATTATATGTCAAAAATTTATTTACATATATGTAGGTACACATGTACTTACCTTCTGCCATAGCTTGATATGTGTCTGTACAAAAACAAGCATTAAAAATCATAATTTATAGAAATTTCAAATTAAAATAGATTTAGATGAGATATTTTTATGTTATTAAACTAATTTCATTAAAGTAGTTTTTTAATTAAATTCAATTTTATTCATAACATTGTTTGAATTCATAACATTGCCTTCTGAATAACTCAAGAATATTATTTACTCCTAGATTAACTTTAGGTCAATAAAATTTGGGAATACCTTTAAATTTGAAGATCATTTCAATACATATTGAAATGATCATTTAGTCAAATTTAATTCTATATTTGATTGGCATTTTCTTTATACTTGAACATAAATTAAAAAAATAGTAATAATTTTTAAATAATTAAATGATTCCTTCTCCCCAATTAAATTAAGTTCCCAATTTGTATTTCGCATTTATACTTAAAAAATTATTTTGACTAAAAAAGTTAGTTAATAAGACTACATAATAAACGGAAATCATTTTAGCACTTATTTCACCTAGTTTTTTTTCCGTTTCTAAACTCACAATTAATTCTGACCTAAAATGAGAAAAAATGTTTATTAATTTTCTTGTTATGAGCACAGCAAAAAAAATCGTTATAATTTTTAACCATTGCTTACATTTCTTATAAAAATTAATCTGTACAGCCTGAGTTTTTGATGCTTTATGCTCTTATTAATAAAATTTGAAAATTCTTCAGAATTTAAATTTAAAATATTTTTGGATAAGTATTCCTTCCGAAATTTGTTTCTTTAAGTAATCTTAGACTACTTATGGTTTTTACGAAATACACACCAGTAGTTTGTGATAAAATTATTACAAGATTAATTTGATTTATATTTAGATGCCTATATTAAATTTTCAAGTTTTCTTTATTTATGAAAAAATTATGCATTGTTATTCAGATTTATAGTGGCCGTCTTACTGAGACTTTAGTTTCTATAATATGAGATTGTTGCAGAAATCTTTAAATTAGTTAATTTTCATTGTAATTTTTTCCTGTCGACTTATTTTCTCATTAATATTTTCTCATTTAATATTGCTAATAAATTTTTGTTTAAAATAATACTATTAAATTTAATTACGAAATTTTGTGAATTTACCGACGGTAAGCGATCAAGAACAATATAACTAAATCTATCATTTGTGATAGTTTTCTATATAACTAGAAAAACATCAAAAATAAAAAATTCTATTCCCTTCATTTTTGATTGAATTTCTTAATTACAATTACTCTTACAATTTTATTTGCATGTAATTTATGAAGTTCATTACATTTACTTTATTAGAATTTATAAACGTAAATGTTTTGATATGTAAATTTAAAAGTAATTATACTTAAGTATTTACAGCGCTTTTTCTTAAATTAATTTCAAAACCCTAATATGAACTTAATGTCAACTATGTGAATTAATTCAAAAACAATAAAATTATGAGGATTTTTTTCTATTTTAAGCAATAAAGATAATTTATAAGCAATTCTCATTAATAAGGTACATAAAAATTTAAAAAAATATTGCCTAATAATTACTAAGGTGTTTGTTTAATCGTGAATTAAGCATGAATCTATGCAATTATAAATCCTAATCGTGAATATAATCCTTTTTTTGTATTCCAAAAATTTGTAAAATATTTTAAGTACAAAAATGCATACAAAATCTCCATTCTAAGAATAACATCGTTGAAGCAGTTGAAATTAAAACTAATTAAAAATACACAATCAGCGTTATATTAAAAAAAAATTAATTCAAGAAATATTTAAATTAAAAACTGCCTAATACTTAATGTGTCACCTTACATAATAATCATACACATTTTTATAAAAAAAACGTGCGTCAAAACGCACACCAATTACAATTAATACGAATTTTATTGGACTGCATTACTTAAGTTACTAAAACCCAAATATTCAAACATTATATGATTATAATAGTTCTGTGGTCATAAGAGAAAACATCTTAACTTCAGAAACCACAAAATTAAAGTGTTATGAATTATTCATATTCAAATACTCGTACAATTGTGTAACAATTTTAAGAAATCAAACTGAATTGAGAAAAACACATCTTAAAAAAAGATTCGAAAGTATACCTAAACCTAAGCCAAATATGAAATAAATAATTTATTCAATATTTAATAAAAAAAAACAGATGTTAATCCAAATTCTGAAAACTTGATATTATCCTTAAAATTGAATATTGTAATTCGGTCTTTTAAGAAAATCGAAAGTGGGTATTTTGTTCTTAACACTTAGCAAACAGAAACTATTGTAAAAACAATAATTCATAATATTTTTTTTATTTCAGAATAATATTGACACTTAAAATGATTGACATTATTGCACAAAGAAATAATAAATAATTTTAGTTATTTGTTTAAAGTACATAAGTATCTATGTATGTACAATAAGCATTCATAAAAAAAAATAAAATTTAATTAAAATGTGACACAAGATTATCACTAAAAGTGTAAACAAAGAATGACACTGCTTCAGTAAAATGCTGAATTGTAAAATATTCAAGCTTTTTTTTTCTTTCTTTTTTTAGTTTAGTCCTATTTCCCTTTTCATCATCTTTATTATTTCATTTTATTAAAATTTCAATAACAAATGATTTTAATTCAGATACAATTTAGAACATAAGCATTCTTATAAGTACATATTTGAAATGTATGTTCTAGACATCCGGAAATCAAAAATTAATTCTGAAACAAAAACCAAAAATTACGTTGACGTGGAGTTTATTCAAATTTCATAAATAAATTCGGGATAATCTGATAAAAATATAAATTAAAAATTGTTTATCTATCACTCAGATATTAAAATACAATCATTTTTGACCTAATTAAAGTACAACAGACGACACAAAGGAAAGAGTAAAAAGTATATTATCATTTTGCTTATAAAAGCATTAAATGACTTTGGTAGAAAAAAAACTCTGATTCAGAAATTGTTTTTGTTGCAATAGGGTTTTTGATTATGTATTTTTGTAGGTATCTACTTAAATAGGAAAAAAACTTAAAA